AGTAGAAGTAGTAGTAGTAGTAGATCGTAAGAACAAGAATCATCCGCATCATCAGCAGCAGCAACATCATCAACATCAGCATCAGCATCATTATTATCACGCTCCTCGGTGGGATCGTCGTGGCTGCGCGGTTTACCAGGTGCTCTTGCCGCGTAGTCCCCATTGCGCTCGAGGTCCCGACTTTGGCTCTTCGATGTCACATTGCGTCCTTTGCGTTTCTGCTGTTGTGTTCGTTCTTCCTCCCTCATTCCTCCTGCTCCTCCCTCAACATGTTCTACCACCCTTGCTCTTCCTCGTCCCCCTCCTTCTTCATCATCCGTTCGTCTCCCTCCTCCCTGGTCGTCTTCCGAATCATCATCAGCATCATCATTATCATTATCATCATCATCATCATCATCACCATCACCATTACCACCATCATCATCATTATCATCATCATCAGCATCAGCATCATCATCATCATCGTCACCACCACAACCATCCTCATGATCATCAGAATAATCAGCAGTATCATCGCTATCAGCATCATCAGTATCATCATCATCATCATCAGCATCGTTCTCCCTCTTGCTTCTGATACGACGATGGTGACTGCGACTGCAAGGGGAGCACCGAGAAGCATTAGGAATGTGTAAGACGATGAGCGCGCAGGAAGACGATGGGAAGAGGGGATCGGGCCTGGGCTGACACAGAAGGGCGGTTGAGTACGAGAACAGAGGCCCGAATGGAGGTCGAGGGCGGAACAGCAGGCTTGGCTTCAACGCAGGTTTGCGCTCGGGGGCGATGCCATGCCTGATGACCAATTGCATGGTATTCCCGGAGCTCGCCCCGTGCCCGCCAGGGAGCGCCTCCTGGGCGCTTCGTGCCGGGAGGTCCTCGTCTTTTTTGCTCTGGTCGGCCCAGTGCCCGCCCAGGGCCCGCCCGTGGACGCCTCGTGGGCGCCTGGTGCGGGGCGGTTCCAGACGTTCGCCCAGCCCTTGCCCGTGGGCGCCTCGTGGGCGTCAGGCCGTTCAGTTTACACTGCACAGCTTGCGCCACCCAGCTTACACCATATACACTGCACCGCAGAGCTTGCGCCACGTAGCTTGCAGGCACGCAGCGTACGCCATCACCGAGCTTGCACTGCGTATGAAAAAGCACCACGTAGCTTGCATTGCATAGCTTCCACCACACAGCTGGTATCAAACCGCTTCCACCACATAAGTTTGGCCACGTAGCTTGCACCACATAGTTTACCCCACATAGCTTGCACCACACAACCTGCACTACATATTGCGCACATCCAGAGTGCATGAGGCGGATGCTTGAGGTCGGAGATGGCCGCTATGTGTGCAACGAGCTGACAATATGCTCTGACGCAGGCGGAGAAGTGCAACGCGGAGGCGGCCCACCTGAATAAGATCCGCAAGGAGCAGCGATATTGCTCCCCGCTTGCGCGCGCTCGCTTCTCCGACCGAGAGGGCTCCTTTCGCAGATTATGGTCTCAATAGACCGAGGTCGCGGTTCGCCGTCGGGGCTGGAGAGAACGCGACGAGAATCTCGTTTCACGCTGCGCGAAGGGCGATATTAGGTTGCTTGGTCGTTTCTGCGACCAGCAGTGCTCAGTTGGCATACCGTGTTCTTGAAGGACCATGTGCTGGGTGAGCGAGGATGCAAGAGAGAAGGGGATCAGGACAAGACCACCCACAGGGGCGAGAAAGTAACCACGCTTCACGCCCCGCGAGGCTCGAAGCGTGGATTGCTTGGCCAAGGTTGCGTGTGTCGGCGCATTTATCCAGTCCGGTACCCCTGTTCATCGCGCTTCGTGGTTTGGTGTGATATTCAATTGGGGCGTCCCCACAACAGCCATCCATGCTAAGTGGTGTTATGCGTATATATATATACATATATATAGATTGTCCTCTTTCTCTTCGTGCCCTTGCTCCTTCAACTCGTTCTCCTGCTCGTCGGCTCCCGCCTTTCCCTCCTCCGCCATCTCGCCCTACTCCCACGGAGCCGGGTCCGCGAATGGAGAGCGGGCGCGCAACGGAGCCGTCTCCACAGCATCCCCCACTCCCCTCCTCCGTCCTCCTTCTCCCTCTCTCCTCCCCAGTCCTCCCTCCGATTCTGCATGGCTCTCGGGTCTCTCCACGCCGTGCGGGACGAGACGGGCACTCCCAGATCGTCGGCGAGGGCGCGGCTGCCGGAAGAGCACCCCGAGGCCCGGAAACCTCTGCAAGAGCCGACGAGGACGTCCGAAAACCTCGAGCGACCCTGGCGGCATTCGGAAGTCCGGACGTTTGTGGTTGATCTTTTGTTCCCAGACGTGATCGCGTCGTGAAAAAATCAGGACGGCAAGATTTTGGCTACTTTCGGCCCCTGGGGGCCCTCGCTGGGCCTCGGGGCCGTCAAAAAACGACCCAGGACGAAGACCGGTCCCTGGGAAGGGGTCAGGACTTCCAGGGACGCCGTCCTGAAAAAATCAGGACGTCGCATGTCTGGGTTCTTCGTCAGCTACAGCCAGGACGCTGAAACAGAGCACAGCTCGGGTTCAGAGGGGGCTCGATGTTCCCCGGGTTCTTCCATGGCTGTTCTTCTGGCCCTCCTCGTGCACCCAGGCGCTTCTGGGGCCGCCGAGGGGCTTCGTTCCCGAGTCAGCGTTCCTTCTGTCGGCACCTCGATTGTACGCCTCCCTCCCCGCGCCCTCGGCCCCAGGCCGGCCCGACGGCTCCGCCCCGTCCCTCCCCGATCCTTGGGCACTGGGGCTGCGCTCCACCACGCACGCCGTGGCGCACGCCCCTGCGCACGCCCTGGCTCAGAGGCGGCGATGGGGGGGGGGATGGGCATGATTAGGAGGGGGCGCATCGACACCCAGGTCGCCCTTCGATCGCCGACAGGAGCCCGATAGCCCCAACCTGCCCAGGAAGACGCGGATTCACTGTCGGAGGCCTATCGCCGAACTATCGGCGATGTATCGCCGATTCCATCGCCGATTCCAGGTCGATGCATCTCCCCTTATGCCAGTCCCCCCCTATCGCTGCCCCTCACTTGCGAACTCTATGGCGCCGTTGCGCATGCCATCGCGCACCCCCACCCTCCATCCCTCAGGAGGGGGAATAGCAAACAGGCGCAAATAATCGGCGACGCCCGGAAAACCGGGAAAATGTGGGAAGTGGAGGGAGGACGAACGTCCAGGAAGTGTGGGAAATACATTTGGGGAGTCCTGGGATTTGTGTTTATTGTAGTGGCCTTTGGCCACTGCCGCCGATCCGGGGCGCTCATGAAGATGATGATGATGATGATGATGATGATGATGATGATGATGATGATGATGATGATGATGATGATGATGATGATGATGATGATGATGATGATGATGATGATGATGGTGGTGATGATGAGAATGATGGTGAAGATTATGGACGTGTGGTGGTGTGGGGTGTGGTGTGGTGGTGGTGGTGGAGCTGGTGAGATGATGAATGGTGCTGGTGATAGGTGAATGGAGATGGTGATGGTGAGAGGTGATGGTGATGGTGATGGAGATGGTGATGGTGATGGTGATGTGATGGTGAAGGTGATGGTGATGGTGATGGTGATGGTGATGGGATGATGATAGATGATGAATGATGATGAATGAAGATGATGATATTAAAGATGATGAGATGAGGATGAGATGATGATGGAGATGGTGATGATCCCCGGCCCCCCACCCCCCACCCCTCCTCCTCTCTCCAGTCCCCCCCCTCTCTCCTGTCCCCCCCCCCTCTCTCTCTTCCATCCCCCCTCACCCCTCTCATCCTGCCTCTCATCCTGCCCCCCCCCTACTCTCCTGAAATGCGCCCTGCCTCTCCCCCCCCACCCATCTCCTGTCCCCTCCCCCTCACTCTACATCCTCCGCTGTTCCACCCACCTCATCTCCTGTCGCCCACCCCTTTCCTTGCAGAGCCCCCTTCTGCAAAGCGGACCTCCCGCCTTTCCCTGCAGCTCCCGCTCCCGCCTGAGAGGGCCCCCCCCCTTTGCAGCCCCCCCCCTTGCAGAGCCCCCCCCCCTCTCCTGCCTCACCCTTGCAGAGCATAACTCCGGGGGGGGGGGGCCGAAATCGAAGGGGGTGGGGGCCGGCACGGGGGGGGGAGGTGCCGAGCACTGAATTCGTCAGTTAATGAGGTCCCCCCCCTCCCCCCCTCCCAAGCAGAGCTAAAGCTCATGCTGAAGCAGAGCTTCAGCTTAGACTTCTCAAACTCACACGCCGGATCGGCGGATTTGTGGGTGTGTGCCCCTGAGCTCCTTCAGTACAAGGATTAACAATGATTGTGGCCAATCCCTAAGGAACCCAAGCCAACGAGGAAGCTAAAGACGAGGACGGACACGAAGATAAACTTCAGCCCTTGCCACAGAGATGTAAGAAGAAGCAGCCGACGCAGATAGTGGTCAGCCTCTTCGCCATGTGGTGGGATGATGGCCCCCCTTGCCAGAGAAATCCCTCCCCGCTCCCCCCCCCTGGGACCCCTTTACGCCATCCCTCCCTCCCCGCTCCCCCCTCGCTTCCTGCGCGGCGGGCAGGAGCTCCGCAAGATGCGTGCCGCCCCTAGCCCGTCGCGGAGCGCGATGGGGCCCGGCCCCCGCCGCCACTGGGGAGGGGATGAGGGGGGGGGGGGGAGACAGGGGGGGCAGGGAGGCAGGGGGGGGGGGGGCCGGTAGACAGGGGGAGGACAAGGGGGAGCAGGGGGAGGCAGGGGGAGACAGGGTGAGACATTGTGGGGGGGGGGGGCAGGGAGAGCGGCGAAAGGACTCCAAGACCCCTTTCGGCCGGGGGGGGGGGCCTCACTGGGCCTCGGGACCGTCAGAAGATGCTTCAGGGTGAAGAACGGGCCCCGGGGAATGGGTCTAGACCGTTAGGGGCCCACGTCGCGAAAAAATCTGGATCTGGGGAGGGGGACACGGGGGGGGAAGAGGAGGAGGAGAAGGAGGAGGACGGGTCGGGAGGGGATGAGGGGCGGAGGGAGAACGGGGTGGGGGGGACAAGCTTCGGTCAGGATCTTTGGCTGGCGTGCTGCTCGGCCCTGGCCTCTGGCTCTGAGACATTGCGGTAACCGTTGGTTGGCGCGTCGTGCCGCCGGTTCTGGCCCACCATGCTTCGGCGCGACACGCGAACCACGTCCAGGTCGCCAAGCGTCAACGTCGCGGGCGTTTCCCAGCCCCCCGCCCAGCGGAGCGGAGCGTGTCGCTGGGGCCGCCGCCGCGGCGCGCTGAGGCAAGGTTCCCGGTCCCGACCGCAGGCGCGTTCGTGCCGTTGTCTTGCTCCCCACATCCTGAGTGGGGTTCTTGTTTTCCCAGAACATCCTCTCCTCCTCCTCCTCCTCCTCCTCCTCCTCCTCCTCCTCCTCCTCCTCCTCCTCCTCCTCCCGCTTCCTCCACCATCCCAAACTGTATCATACCATACCAATGCCATGCCACTCCATACCATACCTTACCATACCATACCATGCATCCACCATCCCATACCATACCATGCTTTTCCTCACACCATGTTATTTATCAGGTTTCGTGCCCCTCCAACCCCTCCAGGGAGGCCCCGCCTGAGCGAGCAGGGTATTCGCACACCATGTTATTTATCAGGTTTCGTGCCCCTCCCACCCCTCCAGGGAGGCCCCGCCTGAGCGAGCAGGGTATTCGGTAGTTGAGAGAAACACATCCTCTTGTCGTGTCCCCTCCCACCACTCCCATGGAGGCCCCGCCTGAGCCGAGCAGGGTATTCTCGCCATACCATGTTATTTATCAGGTTTCGCGCCCCTCCACCCCTCCAGGGAGGCCCCCTCCCGGCCTGAGCGAGCAGGGTATTTCCGCAAACCCCATGATATTTATCAGTTTCGTGTGCCCCTCACTCCCAACACCCCCCCTCCAGTGTAGGCGCCCCCTGAGCGAGCAGGGTATTCGCACACATGTTATTTATCAGGTTTCGTGCCCCTCCAAAACCCCTCCATGGAGGCCCCGCCTGAGCGAGCAGGGTATTTCGCTAACAGCCATATAATTTATCAGGTTTTCGTCCCCACCACCCCTCCAGGAGGCCCCCCTGACGAGCAGGTATTCGCACACCATGTTATTATCAGTTCGTGCCCCTCACCCCCTCTCCAGGATCACCCCCTCTCCAGGGAGGTCCCGCCTGAGCGAGGAGGGTATCCGAACACCATACTATTTACATGGTTTCGTGCCCCTCCCACACCTCCAGGGGGGCCCCGCCTGAGCGAGGAGGGTATCCGAAAACCATACTATTTACATTGTTTCGTGCCCCTCCCACCTTACCAGGGAGGCCCCGCCTGAGCGAGGAGGGTATTCGCCACCACACATTTATTTATTCAGGTTTCGTCCCCCTCCACCCCTCCAGGGAGCCCCGCCTGAGCGAGCAGGTATTCCACACCATGTTATTTATCAGGTTTCGTGCCCCTCCCACCCCTCCAGGGAG